AAGGGCTGAATCAGATAATAATCAATAATATATTATAATTTACAGAGGGACATTTTCCCTTGGCGGCACTCATATAAGAACACTTTTTGGGTCCCCGATGGTGTGATTATATGGAAGTGCGACAGTAATAAATTTAAATTTCCGGTTCGAGGCTTTCACTCAAATTAAATGTGATGCGCAGCAGAACATGGGGGTACTGTACGTAACACTAACTCTGATGAAAAAAATTTCCTGTTACATATTTTTTCATCGTCTGCTCAATATTGTACAGAAACCTTCAGTCTTTATCTGTTATTGAATAACACTGATACGTATGCTTTAGTACATATTATTTATATTGTTATTTTGTAAGCATATAAAGAAATATTTTATAATGGAATTCTTAATCGTGTCTATATAGAGTTAATGTTTTTTATTTAATAATGATATAAATATTTATAACGTTAATTAATCTGGCTCGGCCCAGTCCGCATCCATAAAATTTAGTTATTAGGGCTGAGTCTGCCCGCAAACCAAGTCGGGCTGCGGGTCTAATGCAAGCCTCTGTTAAACCTAGTAAACTTTAATTTTCTAAATCATGACTTATGAATTGTGCCCGAGTCTTTCATGGAGTTTTCTCGAATTATTGACCAATCAGCAACAGTTTAACGTAACTAAAACTCTATGTATTCTGTCAAAATTTTCCGATCGGGTTAAACATCTCGTGGAGAAGTTACACGAATATACACATTTCCGATTATAAAATTTATATCTACAGTATTCGATATGAAGATGGGGGTTTAATTTTTTTGTATTATCGGTATAATTTGAGTTTCATGTCCTTATTAATGGATACTGTATTACAACAAAAATTTTATTTTAATAATACGTATTTACAAATTATATACGTTACAATATACATAGCGATAGCGATAGGTAAAATTTGATTCACCGTTACGTAACGGTAAACCGTTTACGCTATCTGCTAGTACAACAAAATCTTCACCTGACTAGAGGACAATTGATTGGGCAACTTTAAGGTTAGACCCGGGGTTTACAAATTTAGTATGGACCTTCATGTATAATAATTTTTTTAGAGCACAAAACATGTGATAAAGGGTCTAAGATAAATCTGTAAACCCCGGTCTATTCTAAGATCTAAGGGTTCCGTTGATGTTTAAACCACTAAACTAAATAGGTCATATATATGAAAGTCGTCAAAGGAAAAATGTGAAGGATCATAATAACACTATACAGTTTAAGGTATGTGATAACCTCGAGAATCAATTTAACGTTAGATATTCCTTTATGTAATTGATTGTGGTATTTACTGGTTTTTTTTTTTGTCGGCATTCAATGATAAGACTTGTCTATAATTACGTAAAAAAAAATAAAAAAAAAAAAAAACTAGATTTAGATGGATTTTGATGTTTATTAAAAATAATATCTAAAATACTTCTATAAAAATCCCTAAAACCGAAATGCGCAAAATCGAAATTAGTCACAAACTGCGATCCCCTAGTTCCACTTTTTTTTTTGGTAAAGCCACTGTCATCTATCTATAGGCTTAATTTGATATATATATATATATTTATATTTATAATGAAACAATACCGATATTTACAGTAAATTTTCACACAATAATTATTTTGTTTGTATACCAATCAAAGCTCTGTAATAGATCGGCCAATCATTACTCAATTTGAACTAGAAATTATTCGAAATTGGAACTTTGATGTTACATGTTGATTAATAAAGATCTAAAGGGTAATTGTTTTATTTATATAATAATTCTCGATGTTTCATTCTTAACAAAGACTATTTTTTATGTTTCAATAATTAGTACTCTCTTTTTGCATTAAAATATCTCGCCTGGTTAATCAAAATTCTTATTATAAACCAACTTTACAACTTTTATTAGACGAAGCAAATGGTAGCAGAAGTTGTAGACTATCGAGTTTCTCGACTTGTAGTCCTTTGTAAGGACTGTGGTTCTGATGTTGGTCTCTACCCTTCTCGTCACAAATGTATAATATCCGATGAACAAAATACTCCTTCATATCTTTCGCACTCCAGTAAGCAGAGTAATGACAATAATAAAATAAATAATAAAGAACAACAGTCTGCTACTAGTTTGTGGAGCAAACTTAAGACTGTAAATAACTGGAGAGAAATAGCTCAAGGTAAAATTTTCATTTTGGTTATAATTATCTTAATTACCACGTTTTCTTCCTCTCATGCTAAGTAATGCTAAGCAATGCTTTTATCTTTTTTTTAGACGACCCTGTTTCACCGACCCAAGCTACTCCTAGTGGGAAACTGTGGGATAAACTATTAAGTGCTGCATCATCGGCCTATGGTTCTCTTGAAGATAATTCTGATAATGGTATTTGTTTTTTGGATTTTCAAAGTTGTCTATATGCTATGAGAATTCTTTACTAAAATCAAACTTACAAATTAGAGTCTGAAAAAGATGAGTGGGAAGGTGAAACTCATATTTCTCGTATATTACGTGAATATCATCAACAGAAGAATGGTGATATTCCTGCTTGGTTATATGATTCTAAACCTACTTTATCAGAAAGGGAAACTACAAAAAATCCTACTTTATCAGAAAGGGAAACTACAAAAAATCCTACTTTATC